CCTTCACATAGTATAACATCACCAAATTTGCCGATATTATTAAAACTCTTCAATGCACTTTAGATGTTAAACAAATTAAAACACTGCCGTCAAAACATTTCATGAGCTATCTCATGAAAAGCAGCCTCACACAGCGTCCCAGACAACTCCAACATACAGACAGGAAGTGAAGACTGCACTAGTCTATCTGAACCACCATCTGAATCTGGACTCCAGAGACAGTAGGAGGGCTTTCAGACACCGCCTGGCGCTACTGGGAGGCTTCAGAATTGAGTGGCAGGTTTGACACTTTCACAAATGCTGCCTGCTTCTATATACCTCTGTCATTGTAGAACCTCACCTTCAAAAGAATCCAAGCAACAAGAACAAGTGTGCCAAGCAACGGTTCATGAGGGAGCTCCTGTGAAAAATCAAGGAGCGTGCTCACGAGAAGGGAATTACAGATGAATACCGTCTGGCCAGAAGCCAGTTCAACAAACGCTTAAAACATACCAAGTCCCAGCACAGGACCTAAGAGAAGTCAGGCTGCCATCAGTGACTCAAGCTGAAAATAGTCCTTCAAATAAACCACTCCCCGACACTTGCCAATGACATTTAATAACTTCAACATTGCCATCAGCGTCCCTCTTGCCTCACCTTGATTTGTTGCCAAGTCATCGTTGACTTCTACCTCGAGTCTCCCTGACCATATGCTGCCTCCCCTATGGGAACTTGATAAAAATAAAACTTCTGTGACCGTCCATTTACCTGAACTCTTCTGTGTTATTCAGTGGTTTTAAATAGATTCCCAGAAAAAAAAAAGTAAACTACTCAACTTATCAAAATAAATACATTTTCTGGAGCCATTTGTTAGGTTTGTTTTTTCTCTATGCACAATGTTAATCAATTGTTCAATTTTATTTATTTATTAAATTGTGGACTGCATTTCTATGATTTATTTTTAAAAGTTTGTGAAGCTGGATTAATTTGTGTATGTTATTAATATTCAATTTCAAGTTGTTAATTATTTTTCCAAGTTTAATTACATTTGTATTCAAACAGCCCATCTATAGGCTAATACAACAGCTCACTGCAAAGCCCAACACTCCAAACAATCGCCAATAACAGAAATAATTCCAAATTCATGAGACTGTTGACAAGCTTCAGGCGAGTTTATTTGGTGCAGGGAATAATACTGTTCACCAGATGTTTGGTCTGAAAATAGCCCACATTGATGATTACATAAGATCCAGAAAGGCTAGTGTAATATAAATTATGGTTATCAAAGAAGGACAATTATTTGACTATCATTGCAATCATTTCCAGCACACTAGTTTGAGTAGAAGATCGATGAGTTTAAAGCTTTCCAGGTGCAAAACACTGCACATGTTATAGTACTACGATATAAGGAACAACCCTTGAAAAGGTTTTATAGAAGAAAGTAATCCTCTAAGAATGTGTACCTGCCTTTATTCGATTAGCAAATGTAGCATTTAACCAGCAGACATTGCATTGTGTAATTAAAAAGGTTGAGCTAGGATAGTGTTGGAGGACCCTGCATTTTGGGGGCTAGGCCCTCTGTATTGGTACACCAACCAAAGCAGAGCATTTATACATTTTATTAGGGGGCTGCCTTTTATCACACAGTGCTGTTTTCTGTGTGACCAACTATATGTGTACTGTAAAAATCAATTAAATATATTCTTCTACTGCAAATCTGCATTTTATTTATAATATACCAGCAGAAAACAACAAAAAGACACAAAGCTGTCTTCATTTTAGTCATAGTCTGACATATTTTAAAGAGATATTTTTACGCTTCAGGTCCATTTTCTACAAATGTAAATATCTAATTTCAATTGTTTTTCAAAAACGTGAGTGACCTGCACTCAATACTGTGCTTGAATGCATCATGTTTAGACTCAGACAAAGCACTGCTGCTTTTCAGACACCGTGTCTACACAGCAACCTTAGTAACACAAATTCAGGCCAATAATCATTTACACCTTTGGCAATATCTTACTTTTCAAATGATATACTCACTGCTTGACTCTCGCTTCAGTCTCCTTTATGGCTGATGAGTCAATGAGGGATACAGTCAACACAGTTAACACTCTGTATCTTAAAATCTTGACACTCCACTTTCTACAACATCTTGCCAGCCTTAAATAATTCTAACTAAACTTGACCCATTTAGGCTTTCACTTTCCCTTAAAGATGAAAACATTTCATGCATCTGGGACTCTACTCGTCAGACAGCCTCTCTATGAACACATCTCAGTACAACTCAAAATGCACACCACAGCTTACAGCACCAAAGTAAAACGGATGCTTTAAAACATACAAATCTATTGGAATAAATGTAATAAATGAAATAGAAAGAGCAAGCACATTTCCAACAATAATGTTCCATGTCACTCTGAAAAAGCAAGAGCCAAGTTATCAATTGCAGATTGAAATCCATCAAACTACCTTTGTTTGCAGACAAGACTAGCTTCATTACCACCATTTCCCTGTTTGGTAAGAACACAATCTCACATTGTGCGACAAACAAAACTAATCTCCAGTAAAGTATGCGTGGTTGTCTCTTCTATTCTAACCATTCAGACTACGTCCAATATCTCGCTGCAACACATAATCCTGCTTGTGCCATGTGTGTCAGCATATAGTTCACCGCAGGGTTTTGTGATACAAGAGAAATATCACATGTATATTTTAATATACATTTATGTACAAGATAGTATTATATGATGGCCTTTTAGGATAAAATAATTGTAATATGACATCTTATTAAAGACTTTCTTTTCAGTAAAAGAAAAACACAATTTTTAGAGATGGTACAATTTTAGAGATTTTGGCCATTTAATCATTCGAAATAATGTGTGAAGTGCAAATACTGTAACAAAATGCCATTCAAGATAAAGGAGCCAAGTCTAAGCTCAGCTTTTTTGGAGCAGGTTATCTTGTGACCATCTGCTTCGTTTTATGTTCATTGGTACCTTCAAATCTGGGAGTATCTCTTCTACATGACATGAGGCAGTGAACACATTAATTAAATAATGCCATCAGTGATATTACATATTTAACAATGAACAAACTCGATACACTTTGTTCTTCCTAGTATTAGGGTAGATCTTTACCACCATTTTGTTGGTTTGTCATGCCATCCAACCGCAAGAGATCATATACTGACTCTCAATGGAGGGGGTAGGTGCTAAAACAGCTGACATGCAGATCACTAGCAGGTGTATAAAGATGGCACCTTATTTGACCACCACTACTTTAAGGAAGAGTTCAACATTTGCTTGATGAAAGTTGGAGGATGAACTTAATATTGAAAGCCAATCTCATGCCTGTTTCAGGCAGCAGCTGAATAACTTAGCACATGTGAACACGGGGAAACATGTAGCATGGCTCTGTCCCAAAGTAAGTCACCTTCTGGCGCTCTGCTTGTTAACTGTATTGTCATGGTGACATCATGAATCCAGGAAGTCACATCAGCCGGCCAATAAATAACTTTTTTAAGCCTTTATGCTATGCTAAGCTAAATGTATCGGCTGCTTGTTAAGCTAATCGACTGCGGTAATAATAATCTAAAACGGAATGAGCTTATTTCCCAGAGCTTCTAAAAACAAGCTCAAGGATACAATGCCACCTCAGTTAATAGTTGCGGTTATTGTTTATTTTGTTGCAGAAAATACTGTATAACTATTATAATTGATGACATTAAACTGCACTATATTGTCAAGAAGCCTTTAATTATGATGACAGGTTGATGAAAAATAAGTCATAGTTGGTGTGAACATGCACTTCAGGGGTTCTGTGTAGCATCAGACTGGGTCCAGACCATAGGTCCAGACACTATAATGTGTGACACAGAAGAAATACCTCTATGTATCATAACTGGTAGATTTGTGACTCTCTAGTGCAGCCTGTAAACCTTTTAAACGTAAATCAACGCCAGTGCACTGATTCCGAACAACACCTTTGAGTCGATATTATTAGGGCACATCTTTGCCTTCATAAAATGGAGACTTTCTCCTTTAAACAATCACACCCATGAGAGATTCACTGTTCCTAAATCAAATGCATTATAAGAGGAGGTTTTCAAATGTGTACTCGGCTTGGACCTGGCTGTTATCACAAGAGGAGCCAGACCTGTGAGCAGACCAGTTTTGACTGGGTATATGGGGTCATTGGGATCAGTTACCAGGCGACAGCTTGGCACATGTCTCCCTCATCTGGACACGAGTGGAAGAACAAGGTTAAGTAAGTACATGGGTCAATACAGAGTGCTCAGGAAAAATATGAACAAAAGGGATATTGTGCAGTTTGTTGCTATGACTAGTTTACGAGCCACTTAGATCAGCACTAGGCGAGCCTTGCAGCATGTGTGCTCAGTGCATCATACACAGCACTGTGGCCATATCCATGTGCAGTGTGGAATCCAGCATGTGAATCCCATGCATGAAGCAATGGGCTCTATCAATTCAGGAGTGCATTTTATCTGACACGTAATGCATTATTTAGTTACTTTTCCATCTTGAAGGCTGATACGGTCACACCCCTCTCTAGAGAACTCAAATGGGACTGCTTGCTATGATACAATGCACACAATTCCAGACGTTATTTCCTATTTACTCGTTGTTCTCTCATACAAATGAGCCTATTGGATATCACAATACACACAGCCATATCAGTCAACCCATCTTTGTCATGGTCAATCATTATAGAGCATTTGTAGCATGCATGTGAATGATCCCCCCTTACATATCATGCATATGAGCCGGGCCATTTCAAGACAATTGTTATTTCCTATGATACGATTTAAACAGGGTTGAACTTTCACGTGACATATGAGATAAGCAGCCATTTGTTAGGATGAATTAGCCCCACACTTCATATCACCTAACGTGCACAAAAAATATCATGCGATTGCAAAAAAGCAGCACCAAGCCAAGCGCATACGGAGACAGCAGAAATCATGTGTGCGGCACAACATATATTGCACTTCAACTCACCTTGAGCGGCCGTTCCTCTGGTGCTGAATACACTTGCTATCAGAGTGGCCACATACCAAATCATAGTACTATTGCCGACCAGCTATTACCACGCAAAGTGCCCCGCTCAACCAATCTCTCATATTCGACCTTGCACTTCACGGTCTCTTAGCAAAAGCCCCTTTATCATATCCTATTTTCTTTCCTCGTGGCGTTTCCCTTCATCCCTTCCCTCCCCCGTCCTTCCATCCGCATCCTCTCCCGAAGAGACAGAGCACCTGCACCGCCGCGTTTGTAGTAGACGGAGCCGTTTTACGAGCGCATAGTGAAACCAAGTGTGAGAATGCCTCCACAGGTCCGCCTCTTCTGTCATTGGATTGGCTGCTGATTGAGGCTTTGGGGCGTGTATTGGTTCTCCGTACGCCCCGCACCCGAATGACAGGAGAGCGGCCGTGCGCCGATTCAAGGTGAGTTGGAGCGTGCCATAGTAGTGGAACCGCAGTATCATGCGCATTGACAGAGAGACGTGTCCACATCTTTAAATACCTCTCCTTAACTGGCCCCCACGTGCACCATCATCCATTCATTCAAACAGCCTTTTGTGCATTATTCGTAACATCAATATTCGCACCAGACAGTTATATATATCGCGAAGGTTTACTGTGTTTTCGATGAAAAGGGGGGACGCTGGTGAATGTGTGTAACTCATCTGCCGCTCAGCCCATAGCCCTCGGCTGTTGTCATGTCGCTGTCACCGACATAAAATGCTCTCTTTCCTCTCTACCGTGCCGTGTCTGGCTTTATGATGGGTGTGGCGACAGATACAGTACCGTGTTGTTTTTTCCTCGATGGCCACGAGCGCGAGGATGCAGCTCCATCACGCTGCCCACTGCGCACACATGCTTAACACTGATAAGGCTGCCTCACTTTCACTCCCTCTGTTTTCTACATGCATGACCATATAGGGATATGACGGTTCAGGCTGCTCGATATCAGCTCGGATCTCACCTAAATAATGCTCAATCCAGCTGCTGTGAAATAACTGGAGGATAAACATGTGGGGGGGATCTATGATGGGAGAGAAACTCGGTGGAGACTAGTCTTGCAAATCGTGGTCTTTCAGCTGAATTTGTCACAGATTTGTCTCGGCATTTCCCTCTGTCTGTCTCTCCCTCCCTTCCTTTTTGTTGGAGACTGGCATATTCCAGTCTGAAATCCAAGACAATCTCAAAAAGGTGACTCAAAATCAAATACATTCTCCATTTTGTCTGAAGATCTTTGTAGCCATGCAAAACAATCCTGCCAAGTAATAGTAACGCATTTGAAAATGTGAAACACTATTTTATAACTAGTTTTCAATTTGATTACACATCTCTCATAGCACAAACTAAAACTATACAGTATCAATATTAACATTAACAATAGCACATTTGCTTGTAATCTCATAACCATCACATCAGGCCCATGCATGTTAAATAAAGATGCAGTGATACGAATAAACAGCATTGAGTGTCCGGATTTGGGCCACCATGAGTACAGCATCTCTCCATCCCTCTGAAACTCTGCTGGAGGTATAAACGCTGTTCCTCTGATATTCACCCATGTTTCTAGGTCTTGTGATGGTGACTATGTAGGCTGCATCATGTTATTCACAACATTCTCCTACTCCTTAAACCACCCACTGACCACCGCTTGTGCGCTGTATGGAAGCATTTGCAATTGTTCAGCCTTTTCTTTAATTTGTGTAACAATTTCTCTGAAATATTGTTCCAAAGGTCAGAACCCCCAAAGGAGACACATTTGGATCAATCTGAGGGTTCAACAGATGACTAGCAGGCTTAGAAATAAGAAAAATAGCTAAAGTCACATTTGTGTTTTTTTATGACAATCATTTTGAAAACCTGGATATTTTATGCCTCTAAAAATGGTTAAAATGAATGTCTCTGAGAAGGTAACATTACTCAGTGGTTGAATGTCAATGTGTAATGGATTCTCTTCAAAGGTTTCAGGTCTAATGTTGGGAAGGCCTACTCTAAAACAACGACAGCTTTTTACAGAGGGGGTGATGATCAGATTTGGAGCCTAGCATCTTAGTGATGCTCTCAGCTCCTCCCTCACAGCTGGCCACACACATACTGTACTGCACATGTTACAGTGTAAGAAGGTATACTGTATGGGAGCTCCAGTGTTGAAAGCTGAAGAAACCTCTGTAACATTTACATGACTTCAACTGGAAGGGAACTCAGCAGAAGACTTGATGGCATCCACAACTGAAGCTATGAGTCATAAATTATAAATCCCAATTATCAAAAGCTCCGTGTCAGGGAGCTTTCTCTAGTTGTACAGCCGTGTCACTGAAGGTGAGAAATGAAGGGTTTCACATTTAAAGCTCCACAGTGGGCTGCACGGAGGAATTGTTACCGCCAATGACCAAGCCATTTTGAAGGCGCAGCGTCCGTCAGATTCTCACAATTACTGTCAGGGGAGGTGTGCAGGACTGTGCTGTGACTGCTGCATGGCAAAACAAGGTCACATTACCTCCAACCCTCACCTAAAGTTACAGAAGTGCTGACACAACATGTCGGCCTATACCTTTTTCAGCCTGAGCCTTGATGAGCCTGTTTCCACAGCGACACACACGACATAATGGCATTTGCTTCATATAGGCAGCAGCAGAGATTGTTTCTCTGTTTTTCTCCATAATAAAATTACCTAGAAGCCAGAGCAGAGGAAAGATAAGAGCCGTTAAGATAATCTCTTATGCAACAAATCTATTAGTTTTTGAGGCCTGTCAAGGGAGATTAGCTGGCTGTGTTACCAAAGGGCAGCAAGGGAACAAGAATGTTTCGAAATGTTGAATACAGCAGGGACTGTTTTTTTCTGCACAGAAAAAACAGGATTATTTTCTGCAGAAAACGGTCATATCCCTTGCATGATGCATCAGATTCCTCTTTTATTGAGTTCCTCATGTGGATCTTTAAGCATGTTGGCAGTTATCAGAATAATGGATGTTTCAATTACGTTTTTCAGGGTTGCACTGTAAAAAAAGGATTGAAAACTAAAAACATAATGGGTTAACTTTTTCAGCAATAGCCCTCTTTTGAGCAGCAATGAATAAAGAGAAAAACATATATTATTAGATGCTGGAACAAGGCAAGATCAGAGTCTCTCCATCTGCAGTTTGTCAGGTGTCCTGCCAACAATAAAAGAATGAAAAATGTATATTTGTCCTCAAGAACAGAATATTCTGTTTATTTTTAGGGTCACTTTCCAGTGGGATTTTCTCACCACTGTGAGCAGGCAACTCTTTGATGTTCGAAAACGTCGGTTTTGTCCACTAAATTGTGTTTTTAAGAGAGATAATGGTATCACTCATCCAAAATATACAATTATGACATTCCTAATCCTTAAGGTCCAAGTGAAAACAAAGTAAATGCTTGCACTGCTCCTTTATTCTCATACTCTGTATCTGTCCAATGGTGTGACTGAGCATGGACCCAAAAGCTTCAGTGACAGAGACATATGGATGTGTACACTGAGGGTCCAGCAGCCTGCAGCTGACTAACCTGCCCAACAGATGTTTGGCTGCATGTCTGTTTATGGTGTTTTCAAGCTCTCCATGTCCTTACAGTCACATGCTGCTTTCAAGTATAGTTCATGCTTTTAACCAGTAGTGGTCAGTAGTGTCTTGCACAAGAGACCAGCTTCATTTTTGTGTGTATTTATGTTTGTTAAAATGTAATTCAGGACAACCTAGAGTAATGTAACATCCCTTTTCATCTTTTAAAACCTCAATCAACAAGACTTGAACAAGTACTAATCCTTATTTATCATTAAAAGATGTCAAACATTTGTTTTAGGAATAATACATTCACTGTGCACATAAGGCAAGAGGAGGGGAAATTATATTGGTGTAGTGAGAATAACTTATCTGAGGGTGACAGGCCAGAGTAGATCACCGGATTGCAGGTTTTAACTGGGAAGGGGAAAGTTAAATGTTTCCCCAACAGCTCCTGGGTTCAGTGGCAAAACTCCCAAAAATAGCCTGATTTCTCTGATGAAGTCCATAAGAAACCACTTTCTTCCTGGTTAGATCCGACTTCCTCTTGGTTCTTTCTCTTCTCTTTTTGAATGACATGCTGTCCTCCTTTTAACAGCCAATCATTTCCTTGATTGGTTTCCTCCAGCGTCTCTCAGGGGTGGCTTTTTCTCAGGGAATCTGTAGGAGTCATGGATGTATAGGCAGTACTCAAGTTGTAAAAAAAAATCAGGGGGGATGGTGGATTTTATCATATGGGGACATAATTTGTGCTGATAACCCACCGAGGGTGGGAGACCAACCAGCATAAAGATAATTATTATACTCCTAAAACAACATGCATGTTATGGATGTTCAGATACTCCTTTCATTGCTCTTGACCAAGGCACCTCAGAATTAGAGTCGGTCCCCCGGCTGCCATGGCACCACTAACATTTAGGGTCAAATGCAGAGGACAATTAGTGCAAAATCTTTTTTTCACTTTAATTTAAAGGGGGGGAGGGGATACAAAAATGTGGTTATGGATGGTGGTTATGGATCAACTGATTATACTAATAATAAAGTCAAATTTGTTTTTAGAATATTGAATTATAGTGTATTTTTTCAAAAAAGCAGTTACTGGTATACGATCAAAACTGGTATCTAAAGGGTTACATTTGTATCGTAATTAATTAAATCATTACGTAAATTAAACACTTCATGAAAAATTAGAGGAAAAAAATTAGAAAAATATTGATCCGTCATCATTTTATTGCAGTTCAAATACAAATATTTTATGTTAACATTCCCAATGTTTTTTTAACAGGGCATTAAGTGCAAATTGAAATTGTTTACAAAATATGAAAATATATTAAAAGATTATACAGATAATACAAAATAGGACCAATGTTGTCAATGGCTGCCTACTCCACTCTCCCCCATCTCATAGAAGTGTCCAAAGATTTTCATAATCATGCTTTTTGGTCTCAATTTTTCTGGCTCTTGCTTTCGGATTGTTAGCTAAGCAATGGCTTTGAAGCCAAGTCTTGACATATACCTCTGGTCTGAACTTGTTCAGTGGAGGGCCAACACACTTGATAAAAAGCAAGGCTGACATGCTTTTTACCTCTAGGGAGCTTCTAGTTGTGGTTAAAATGTTCATCTGACTAAACCCACGTTCACACTCAGCTGTGGAGATGACCAGAGTGTTCACTGCTTGAAGGAGGAGTTTCAGCTTTTCTGATGCTGGTGGTATCATTTCATCAACAGTTTTGAGTCTTACCAGCTAGCTAACACGAGAGAAAAACGTAGCTAAACTCCAAACTAAGTTGTTATTGCTGCTTATGTCCATAGATTCCACCTTTGGTGAGTAAAGTAATGACTAAGATTACTGACTCTTGACTTACCTGAAATGTTATTTTTAGTATTTTTAAATATGAAGTCAGATCAGATCGCGTTGTCCTCCTGGTCGCTTGGCCATTGTGATGACCGTTACCTGCGCTTCTGGCATCGATCGATCGATATGTTTTGAGCTGTACTGTACTGTACCCAATATACAAGCTGTTAATAAACTTTTCAATCAATCAATCAGGCACATCACAGCGCTCTTGCGCCCTCTAGGGCACTCGCATAGTATAGCGTCAGTGACTTGGTAAAAATGTCATTGCGTGTGTGTGCTCCCTCGCTCACAGTATTTTACTCAAAATGCGCAAAATTAATGTTGAAATAGCAGTAATACCAGTGCCACGTTCATTGATAAAATTACATAAGGGATGGAAAGGGGGAATGGCAGTTTTAGAAGGGGGATGATTTTTGACCGTTTTTATTTCAGGGGGGATGCCATCCCCCCTCAACTCGAGTACTGTGTATAGGAGTGTGTTTACTATTCCCCCTTGAAGAAACACACTCCTCAATGTCAGTTTCGGTACTTTAATGACAAGGATGACGACACCCTGAAACAGAGCAATGCAGCAAGATAAGCTGACAAAGTACATCCATGCATGTCATGACCAATACACATATATTCAACGACACAGAGTATAGACACACCAAACAATAGTGGAAACAATCTTACATGAATGAGTGGATGAACGTCTCAACTCGAGGCGGAGTGAATGAACAATGTTTGAACTAAAATGGAGAGCAGAGCATGGCATATCCGGACAGCGACAGCAGTGACGTTGCCCTCTAGTGGCCGGCGATAAACTCTTCATCCCCCCCAGACCGGAAAACTATGGGCCGGAATAGATTAACGGTCTAAATCCAGCTGCCGGACTCGGGCTCGTAACGTGCAGGCGGCCTGGCCGAGTAGTCTGGGGCAGCGTCGCCGGCGACTGCGGCACCGGGAGCGGTGCGCCCAGGAA